TTGTTGGGAAAGAGAACGGGGTCTGACCGGAAGGAGAAGCAGTGAAAGAATAATTGGTGGTGGTTAAAGGGGAATAAACAATGTAGATGGAAGCCTATAATTCAAGCGCAAGAAATTGGTGTTTTGCTTATACAGTTAGCGATATTTATGCTTGCTCTTTGAAATATCAACGTTGGCAGAGTACAATTTGAAAATTGGTGTTTTGCTTATACAGTTAGGATTTGATGTTAGTTTGCACTTGTGGTGCTATACTATGTAATGGATATAGGAGGTTTCAAAGAGGAAAATGTGTTAAAATGCTTTGTTATTTAACTTTAGACTGCTTACACTTTTTTGGCTGTAAGAAGACGTACACACTATAGCTGACCTGGATGCACAAGTAGATTAAAAGGATTGATTGGAGTAGAGATGAATACTGGTTAGATTGGTGTGAAATGCATCCGGGTCAATAAATTTTTCATGGGCTTGAGTATTATGATGTATTGGCTATAGATGAATACTGGTTAATTCTTCTCAAATTGTGATTTCTGTATTCTTATAGGTGTCCCTAAATGTGCCATTAATGAAATGAAGCAGCCAACCAAAACGAGTTTAGATTATGGAAGAGTAAAACTAGTTAAAGCAACAACTTAAATGTTGGGGCTTGTCAGCAAGATAACAGCTATGCGTGTAAATGTGAATGCACATGTTAGTGCATGGTCCCTTTTGAGAGAGAGAAACAGGGCAACCTTAGTTTAAGTAAAAGGTTCTCCCCCATTGTTTAACCTAGCCATTGGAATAACATAAAAAGGGATCAACTAAAGTTCCAAGGGGATAAACTAAAAGCTCTGAACTTGCTAATCATGCAAAGTTTATTGCGAGGAACCTCAATATATAAGCATGACAAGTATTTCCATTCAGTGGGAATTATAAAGCGTGCTGTTGTGAGGAAATTTTATTTTCACACTTTTATGAAGATCCCATGGCACTTACATCCCTTATTGTTATCCTGAAGCCATATGTCTAGATGCAGAATTTTATGAATGCACAAGTGTTCACTATATATATGATTTCACATTAAAATTATGCATCTAGATTAAGGGATGTAAGTGCCATGTGATGTAAGCTGCACTTTGCGTCTTGAATTTGAATGCTACGAAATTTAGACGAGCCACTTGGATGTTAAAA